TCTCAAGAGAGACAAAAATTTGATTCAAGGGAAACTGTCTCCAGAGAGAAAATTTGTTTCAAGATAAATTGTCTAAAGAGAGACAAAACTTAGTTCCAAAAGAAACTGTCTTCAAGGGAGACGAAATCTGTTTCAAGGAAAACAGATTCAAAGATTTTGTTTCAAGGAAAACAGATTCAAAGATTTTGATTCAAGGAAAACATATTCAAAGATTTTATTTCAAGGAAAACTGTCTCAAGAGAGACAAAATTTGTTTTAAGAGAAAATATCTCAAGAGAGACAAAATTTGTTTTGAGTAAATTAGTCTTGAGCGAGACGACCTCTTGTTTTGAGAGAAACAATCTCAAAGGTGATCGATAATCTGCTTGTTCATGCATGTTAAAGAAATCCTTTCAGAAGCTTTAATCGTTGACTTAAGGAAGTCAAATCTATGGATGACATGTTTGCTGTGACACTAAATCATATCATCGGACATGAAATCCTTCTTCGTGAAGTTGAAATCGTGGATGACTCATTCACTGTGAAATTGAGCTTTTAATTGGACGTCTTTCCTTGTGAAGTTAAGATTCACACTTGTAAATTGCATTTCTTTTGAGTTCAATATCTTTTACTGTGAAGTTGAAATTGACTTTAGTATGAATCTGTAAAATTATGCACATATGCGATGCTATGGATGCGATGCTCTTATGTATGCCTAAAATGTATATGCGAAACATGTTATTTTAGGGTTTGGAGAGAAATCTTAATCTATGGTTATCAGTCTCGATGACCCTTGATGCTGGAATCTTGAATTTCTGATTCTTGATCTTGGATTCTTCAACATGCTGAACTCTAATGTACATAATGTTGATCTGTGAAGGGGATAATTGCATGAGTAGCCTTTATTCTATCTTTGACTCAGTTTGTCCTCATTTCCACCAGGGTGTACTCTTGAAGACCTCAACCTAAGACAATTTATTTTCCTTGCTCCAACAAATTTTGCCCCAAAAATGGCTTCCTTTGCCCCAGCTTCAATCTTGAGCTTCGGAGGGATATTTGTTGAATTCCAAGACATGTTTCCAGAGAACTTATCTTGTTTCTTCCTTTGAATTTTCAAAATTTTGAAAAATATCAAAAGGAGTTTTGGAAAATAATCCCTCATTCTAGGTTTCAGAATTTAAGCAAATCATAAAACAAGAGTTTATTAGATATCAAAAGAATCAAATTCTCTTTTAAGCTTTGATAGCTGCAAATCTTTGACAAATATCAAGACTGAAAAGTTTGTTTAGAGGTGGGTTATTTAAATTAAGGTTTATTTCATCGATTAGGTCATTGTGAAGACCATGTCATGTCCCTCTTTCTTGATTTGGCATTTTGATCGGAGGCCAACAAAATGACACAACTAGCAAAATCAATGGCTTGACCTTTCAGAACACTTCTGTTTCAGTTCTCTGAAATCTTCCATTTGTTCAAGCTTCATAGGCACTTCTAACAAAGGCAGTGCAAAAATATCGATTTAAAAATGAAATTTCTGAGTGCTCGTGTGAAATTGACTATAACAAGTGTTCCTTAACTCCCTTAGTCCATTTATACCGAAACTCCTTATTTAAACTTGTCATTGTCTGGCTAGCTGAATCCATAAAGTCGGGGTGTTTAACCAATTGCTCTAGAGGGATAGCTTAATATCATTGTATAGATATTATAATCGCCTTTATTAGGCTAGCTGAATTTTACTCATAAAGCCAGAGCGTTTAACCAATTGCTCTAGAGGGATAACTCAAGCTTTATTGTATATTATAATCACTTTTATCAGGTTAGCTGAATCTTATCCATAAAGCCGGGGCGTTTAACCAATTGCTTTAGAGGGACAGCTCAAGCTTTATTGTATATATATTATAATGTGGGTATACGGGTCCAATTTCTTAAGTTTGTTAAGAAGATCCTGTTATAGTCTAGGTGTTTTTTAAAGTCAGAAAATCTCATCGTTAGAGTTCAATCCCCAAGCAACTGACCTAAATTAGATTCACCTACTTGACCATTCCATCTGAAAAGATCATGATCATCATTGAACGTCTTAAACAAAAATTATAGAAATGTCTTATGCAAAAGATGATCCATGTTGTCCGCACCTATGCACATCTAAATACCAAGCCTCTTTGTATTATCTCATGAGAGGAAAAGGCTATATTGGTTATTTGCAAGAAAAAGGTATGGTGTTCAGGCTTTTCGGGGTAAAGTCCTTGTTTTGTCACTTTGTCAAAGATCTGTAATTCTGAATCGTTTACAGAGTTTTTTAATTCAGTTGATATTCAAAGAATTTCAAGTTATAAATTTGATTCAATGATTAGCGTAAATTCATTGAAATATTCTCATAAAAAGAAATATGTCAAAGTTTAAAAACAAGTTTCAAAAAGAAATATGAGAAAGTTCAAAAAAAAAAACAAGTCCAAACAGGATGCTGCAAAATAGAATAAATCTCATTAGGATGCCCCATTAGCTAGATTAGGGCCTTCATATGCACTTGCTCCCTATTTCTCGACTGTTTCATTTGTCGGGGCTCCTTTTGATGTACCCTCAGACGCACAAATTTATGTTTCTGGAATGTCCTTACTTTCATCCTTTTTTATGAGACATCTCTTGTTAATTAATGTAATGAAAAAAAAGAAAATAAGAGAAAAGAAAAAATAATGCGAAATATGTAAGAATGCATGATGCATGAAATGTTTGAGGCATTGATCCAAAAAATGTGTTTGTTATTATAAATAATCCTTATTGGGGATAAAAATGTTACGTCTTAAGAGATAAAAAACATTTTAAATGTATAGACCTCGAACAGCTTCGGACTGGTTGATTCGTCTTCAGCCTTTTTATGTCGCTGGTTGAATGCCCTGTCAAACTGTTCCTGCTCCTCAGGATAAACCGTGCAAGTGACGAGCTACTTGCCCCAAAAAGTCTCAAATGAATGCATCACCAGCTTTCACTCTTTGCTGAGTATGTTCCTTAATGGGAACACCATTGGAGCCCTCCATTGTGAAGTTCATTTGCTTGTTTCTTGAATTTGTCAGCAACGCCATCCAGCTCAGCTAGGGTTTCGCCATCTTGTTCTCATAATCTTCGAAAGGACTCTCTGGGTCAATAACATTTTTCTTGTCTTTCCCCTGCAACTTTCGCCATCTCGTTTTGGAAAAGTTTACTTTTGACGTGCTTGGTGTAAATCCCAGTCCATTCTGAGTATTCTGTGACCATAGTTGGACTTCTGAGTTTTTCATCTCTTGTATTATAACCCATTTGTCCATTAATGAAAATTATTTACGTTTAACAAACACATTTTTATTGGATCAACACCTCTTTCGAATAATGCAAATGATGAAAATAAAATAAAAGAGAAAACAATAAAAAGAGTTAGTGAGGTAAAAATAATCAAAACAATCAGGAAAATAAAAGTCCTACCCCATTATATCTACCCAAGCATGCTTTTATTTTTCCTACCCGGACGTGATCTCTATGCCGCAAGCTGATTTTAAACAAGTCCTAATCGCATAAATTTCTAGTTCACATGCTTTGAACATGAAATAACGCAAGAAATAATATCAATGCAGCCTATGGTTTGAAATGAGGTTTTGGGGAGGGCTCTAACTCCTTGTAGTCTACCGATTTAGGTTCTAAAAAAAGTATTCGAGTTCTCCTTGCTGGTGCCCCCTTGGGCTTGCCAAACCCTTAGTCTTAAGCTCATTACAAGCTCATGTGGACTAAGTTAAACTCGAGGGGATACATTCCCTTATGCCCGCACGGTGAATAAATTCACACGAAGACATAAGGTATATGAATCCCGAAGGTTACTTTCTAGGCTTGTGCGGAGAGTAAATTCTCACGAAGGCGTCACTTTCACCCCCACTTAAAAGGGTTCAGAGCTCGAGTATAGAGCCTTAGATGGAAACTTTTTCAAAAATCTGAAATCATTGAAAAAAATGTCAGTACAACTATTTACTTGAACAATAATCAAAGGTAAATAATTTGAATCGAATAAATAAATTAAAATTTTAAATTTACCATTTTCGTATAAAAAGTCAACCGAAAATTAATTCTGACCTGACTCACTTACCTTTCCCCAGTGGAGTTGCCAAGCTGTCGGAACCGTCTTTCGGTCGGGCCCCGGAATTGGGCTTCGACTTAGGATAATGGATTAGGAGTCGCCACCGATCATTTATTTTAAAAATGGGTTGACCGGATACCTTATTTCTTACCCGATCTGCGTCTTACCAAAGATGTGTTGGATTCAAGAGTCGGTTACAGTCAAGGAAGGGTTAGCACCCTTGAACTGCCCTTTCGGTATTACATAATTTGTCGGTTGTGTTTGATTGCGAAAATTGAAAATTTTAAATTTTAAATTATCGATTCGAATTAATTACCTTTGACTGATCGAAATTCTTCTAAAAGAGTAAAAATGTTAGATAAAAAATATTAAAAAAATCAAAGAAAAAACATTAAAAATGAAAATAAAAAAATAATAAATCAAATGAAAAAAATAAGATAATAAATGAATAAACAAAAATTACATAGAAAAATATATTCATGTATAGATTAAATTGTACCATTGAGGCTCTATCCCCACATCCACGACATCAAGTGATGGATTGAGATTTGTAGTGGGCTATGGCCTTGGACTTTTTGCGCCCACATATTAAATTAAATGGCCTAATAATCTATATAGGTATTAAAGATCCACTCCAATTTAACGTGAAACATCCATAAAAGACGAAAGTAAATTTGATGAGTGGACCCAGTTGTGAAAGCTGAAAGCAAAAATAAAATTTAAAAAATACAAATAAATTCGGTGGGATTCTAGATTTTTTGAACTGCCAAGCCAAGTTAAAAAGCAAAGCAAAGCTAAAAAACTTAACTAAAAGCCTACTATTTTCCATTTATGTATTTCCAGCGTTAACCTCTCAAGGTAGCGAGGCAATCAGAATCTGTTACTTGATCAGATACATCGATTCAGAAAAGAAATGAACGGTGGCGATGCTTACGGTATGATGGAGGCGCAATACATATGGAAACACCACAGGCACGACATCAGAGACGACCAGTGCTCTTCTGCTCTTGTTAAACATGTCAAAGCTCCTGTTAATCTCGTAAGTTTTTCTCTCTTTCCTTATCTGCTAAATTTATGTTTATGTCTTTCGGACGGAAAAGAAAATCCGACGACTTTAAAGTTTCTACGGCAGCTTTAAGACTTCCTGACCGGCTTTGAGCCCTCACAATAAGTTTTCTCCTCTAGGTTCGTTCGAAAATCCCCTGTATTTTCCTTGAAAACTCTGTATTTTCGTATCCTTCCTCCCTCTCTTGTGTTTGATGTTTCACTAATTTATAGCCTAATAAAATGCTATTTTTAGTGAGATTAGAGTTCTAATGGGACTCAAACTTGTTGTTGTTTGTTGATGTTGCCGAGAGATCTCCGGAAAGCTCGGGGATGGTTGATCGCAAAAATTGGCTGGTGATTCTCCCTTGCACGTTGGTTGCGACGCTACTGGGATGTAGTTTTAGACCACTGCTCGTGTCAACAACTGCAAGTGACAACTGGAATTTGACGAGGCACTTGTGGACTTCTATTGGGTCTTACATTATATATAAGCTTTTGAGTTGACTTATTTGTAATATTGGATTTTGTATAAAAATAAAATTTATAGTATAAATGCATGTACCATATTAAATGACATAAATTAATATGAAATATAAATTCATTATATAGCAGTAATAAAAATTGAATCGAGCCAGACGAAATTAAGTGTCTATGGTCTAATTTAAATTTTGACCTGTAAAGTTTTCTAAAATTATCATTATAATACTTAAAAATAAAAAGTCTCTCTTATTCTTTAATTTTAAAGTTTTTTTATTAAATTAAATAAATTAACATAAATTATTATATACCTATTAAACCGACCTTAGTCTTTCTCTTTTTGTCAATCCCAATATCAGTTTAAAGAATAAAATAGACAAATAAAAAATTCAAGGATCAAAATAGACAAAATATGATTAAGGACTAAAATGAAATTCTCTAAAAGTTTGAAGATTAAAAATATCATTAGACGTGTTAAATATTTAGTATCATTGTATCTTTGAAGTAGCAAAGAAACTTTTTCATTTACCATTCTTATACTTCCATTTTCTATAATCAATCTTCTCCTTAACAGAAACAAACACCTTTTTCAAATACATACTTGATTATTTTTCTAAGGAAATAAATCAATATTTAGATTATTATTATAATAATTTAGAAATTATAGATTTTTTGTTGCCCTCCCGATTTCAAGTTTTCGTCTTGACTAATCCAGACCGACCCGTGTCATACACCTAGTTTTGATGGGTGAGTCTCACAGCATATTTTTTTTGCATACACAATGACTCGAACTTGAGACTTTGCTTAAGCGATATCAAGCTGTTTACCACTTGAACCAACCCATGTTGGTAGGAATTATAGATTTTAACATGTTTAATGACATAATATCTTTGAATTTAATTAGTTATATTATATTCATGTTACTTTTTACAACCTAACACATTTTAATTAATTTTAATATGTTTATGACACATTTTAATTTATTAACACGTTAATGATAATTCCTATTTAAAGAAATAAATTATTTAGAATTATTTTATTAATATATTCCAATAATAATTAGCAATAAGCCACATTGAAAGTATATGGCACCATGTGAGTTGTGAGGTGTGACATGTTCATGAAATGAATAATAAAATAAAAATATTTGATTTATAATGTTGTTTTAAATATTTTTTATAAATATAAAATACAATATATATCATATTTTTGTTGATAAAAAATACATTATATGAAACATGTAACACCTATTTCACTACAGTAAAATTGTTCTGTAGCAGCGTTTTAACAACATTTTGAGAGTAAACACCACTAACTTTAAATATATAGTGGCGTTTACATTCCAAACGCCATAAAATGGTAATTTTAGAGGCGTTTTTATACAAAAAGTCGTGAAAGAGTAGTACTTTAACATCGTTTCTACACAAACGCCGCAATAGGTTCATTCATAGTGGCGTTTTCAACAAACGTCGTGACAGAGTAGTACTTTAGCGACATTTTTACACAAACGTCGCAATAGGCACTACATCAAAATTGTTCTACATTTTTTGCGGTGTTTTTAAATAAAATGCCACAAAATTTGAACAACAAAATGCGGCATTTACGGGTAAAATGCCACAAAACAAATACATTAGTGGCGTTTATCATAGTCATGCACCTTAGCAATATTTTTGTAATAAACGCCACGATTGTCATGCACTGTTAGTGGCATTTTTTGATAAACATCGCAATATTCGCGTCGTTTTTGTAATAAAAGCCGCAATAGTCATGCTCTTTAGCGTTGTTTTTGTAATAAATGTCGCAATAGTCATGCACCATAGCGGCATTCCGCAATAGTCATGCACCTTAGCAGCATTTTTGTGATAAACGTCGTGATTAGCATACACCTTAGAAGCAATAGTCATACACCCTAGTGGCGTTTTTTATTAACGCCGCAATATTCATGCACCTTAGTGGCATTTTTGTACTAAACGCCGCAATAGTCATGTTCCTTAGCGGCATTTTTGATAAATGTCACAATAGTCATGGCGGCCTTTTTTTAATAAACGTCGCGATAGTCATGCACCTTAGTGGTGTTTTTGTAATAAATGTCGCGATAGTCATGCACCTTAACATCATTTTTGTGAAAAACGTCGTGATAGTCATGCACCTTAGTGGCGTTTTTGTAATAAACGGCGCGAAAGCCATGCACCTTAGTGGCATTTTTGTAATAAACGTCATAATTTTTCAATCCTTTTAACCCGGATTCCAAATCCCTAATTGTTTCATTCCTATTTTTTCTAATTTTCCTCTAACGCCCAACCATCACAGTGAAGCCACCACTGTACAACCATCACCACAACCGCAACATGACACTATCGTCGTCAGTTTTCAGTCACCAACAAGTATGTCTCTATTCTCCTCCTACACTGTTGATTTCTTCTCTGTCGCAGTCGAGGTAAACATCCCCTTAAATTTCAACTTCTTCTTTATAATTAGTTTATTTTGAAATTTGCATCCCATGAGCATGGTTTTTCCTGGTGTTGTTGGCTTTAATTCTCACAAATATTAAAAAAAAAGAAAATATTTAGCATCATCTCTTGTTTTCCTTTGTTAAAAAAATTAATCTAAAATCTCACTGAAAAGTGATAACCCTCCCTTTTCTGCGAATCTCGAGCGCTCCAGTGCTTGTGGTGTCCATGGCAATTGCAGCGGCTTTTCTTTATTGTATTCTAGTTCTTTTACTGCTCAAGCATATGGTATACATCTTATTGTATTCAAGTTGTTTTTAGAGCTAGTATATTGTTCTTTGCCTGGAATTTGCAATATTTTCTCTCACAATCACATTTGTTTTCACTCACTCTTTGAATTGGTTAAAATAATATATCGATGCTTGGTCTGTCATTGCAATACCTAAAAAAAATATTAAATTGTCTCATTAGATGTCAGATATTACTATATTCACGATTGCTTGCACACTTTGCTATCATAGATTGTTCACAGTCAAGTAGTTATTGGGATTTGAATTTGGGCTTTTTCCCTTTTTTATTTCTTTTAAATTTATTTTAGGTCTATATGTTGATTCTTTTATTGGGTTTTTGTTATTTTTCTTGTAGTTTAGAATAATCCTAGTGAAGTTCATACTAATACACTACTGGTAATTGATGGTTATCAAAGGGCTTTACTATTATCTTCACTCTTCACCTTCAAGGCAACATCTGAGAAGATTCATTTCCTAGTATATATTTTATTTCAATTGTTTTGATATCCATTTGTTGATTGCAACAGATAGCATGATTTTGCCTGAGAAGATTCATTTCCTAGTTTATATTCGGTTATCGCTTTTTGAATGGAACAACTTAATTTTTGGAATATCAGTTGATGTAACCTTCTCATAAGTTGTTTTAGAACAGTTTCTGTTGGATGGTAATCAATTGCTTCTTTTTAAAATGTTGTAATGTGTACATTTGTTTTTGGCAAGATGAACGTTTCTGTGGTTTGCTGATTTGATTGAAATTGCCCAGTTATCTGTTAACATGCTTTATTATCTTGAAAGAGAAATGTTGGTTTTCGCTGTCGATTTAACCTATGAATTAAGCACATTTCATGGTCTAGACAAAGGAAACACAATTTCCCCTCTTTTAACTCGATACAGAACTAATACGAAGTAATGTGCACAAGACTTGTTCTAATATCATCAATTAAAGCTATAATTAGTTTCAAGTTTGATTTTTGAATAATCAGTACCTTCATTCTTTCATAGAATAGTAATGACAGTTGTGCACAATTTGAATTAGTTTGATTAATCGATTAGTAATGACACCTTCGTTGATATTGGCTTATGTCATTATGTAACACTCATCTCCCGTATACCTTTCCGTACACGAGATATGGATGCCACATCACTTTTAAAACACTATGTCATTTGAAAAAAAAACCGTAGAATTTTGTTTCAATTTTTAACAACCTTAAAATATGATATTCATAGAAGCAAAATCCTAAAACTATCCACTTAAATACATTACAAAATATTTAATTTAGTTCCATTACATGCCAACCAACTTTTCAAAAGGAATAAGATTGTCCTAATGTTACTGACGGATCAACCTTAATTGATGATCGTTGTTGCTACTGTTGCACTCCTTACGCAACTAATCTTTGTCTTTACCTACGCGTGAAATCAAAACACGTTAAGTAATTACTTAGTGAGATATAATATTGCAAAGATATAAAACCTAATACATAAATTTCTTATGAATACTGAATGACAATTTAAATCGAAAGATCCATAAGGACCAGATAAGCCATTCTCAGTTACACCATAATTCTTTCAATAAGTCATCTAAAATATTCTTAGTAGGCCCTACCTATCTATCATTCTATATATATATTTTCCCCAATTATTCTTTATTTTCACGGTGTACGTTAAATTAGATCGTACTGTACATGTATTGCACCAAAGTGCCAATTGATCGTGTATCTTTTATAACCATCAAGGTGGCATCTTAAATACGAGTAATACACAATTTTCTATTTTCATTTGGGCATCCTTTCATGCCCATTATGTACTGTTTACAATTTTCCTTCATGACATCCATTCGTACCAATTATGCATTGATGTATATTATATATATATACAACATTATGTAATATCCCTTAAGCATTGTTTAGCTAAAAAATTCATTTTTATTTCCTTTAGTCTTTTACCTAAAGAGATTTAGCCTTTCACCTAACTTGCATGATTGACACCTTCTTGCCAATTGCAAAGCTAGGCTATTAATCTCTTACTCAACAGTATTTAACCGTTCATCTAACTGGCATAATTGACACCTTTCTGCCAAATACACAGCTAGGCCATTAATCTTTTACTCAACGGTATATAATCGTTCGTCTAACTGGCATAATTGACACCTTTCTGTCAAATGCACAGTTAGGCCTCAAAGTCACTTAGCCTTTAATCTAACTGGCATGATTGACACCTTTTTGTCAAATGCACAGTTAGGCCTCAAAGGCACTTAGCCTTTTATCTATCTGACATGATTGACACCTTTATGTCAAATGCACACTTAGGCCTCATAGGCACTTAGCCTTTCATCTAGCTGGCATGATTGCCACCTTTCTGTCCAATGCACAATTAGGCCTCAATGGCACTTAGCCTTTCATCTAACTGGCATGATTGACATCTTTCTGTCAAATGCACAGTTAGGCCTCAAAGGCACTTAGCCTTTCATCTAACTGGCATGATTGACACCTTTCTATCAAATGCATAATTAGGCCTCAAAGACACTTAGCCTTTCATCTAACTGGCATGATTGACACCTTTCTGTCAAATGCATAGTTAGTCCTCAAAGGCACTTAGCCTTTCATCTAACTGGCATGATTGACACCTTTCTGTCAAATGCACAGTTAGGCCTCAAAGGCACTTAGCCTTTAATCTAACTGGCATGATTGACACCTTTCTATCAAAGGCACTTAGCCTTTCATCTAACTGGAATGATTGACACCTTTCTGTCAAATGCACAGTTAGGCCTCAAAGGCAGTTAGCCTTTCATCTAAGTGGCATGATTGACATCTTTCTGTCAAATGCACAGTTAGGCCTTATAGGCACTTAGCCTTTCATCTAACTGTCATGATTGACACATTTCTGTCAAATGCATAGTTAAGCCTCAAAGGCACTTAGCCTTTCATCTAACTGCCATGATTGACATCTTTCTGTCAAATGCACAGTTAGGCCTCAAAGGCACTTAGCCTTTCATCTAACTGGCATGATTGACATCTTTTTGTCAAATGCACAGTTATTCCTCAAAGGCACTTAGCCTTTCATCTAACTGGCATGATTGACACCTTTCTGTCAAATGCACAGTTAGGCCTCAAAGGCACTTAGCCTTTCATCTAACTGGCATGATTGACATATTTCTGTCAAATGCACAGTTAGGCCTCAAAGACACTTAGCCTTTCATCTAACTGGCATGATTAACACATTTCTGTCAAATGTACAGTTAGGCCTCAAATGCACTTAGCCTTTCATCTAACTGGCATGATTGACACCTTTCTGTCAAATGCACAGTTAGGTCTCAAAGGCACTTAGCCTTTCATCTAACTGGTATGATTGACACCTTTCTATCAAATGCACAGTTAGGCCTCAAAGGCACTTAGCCTTTCATCTAACTGGCATGACTGACACCTTTCTGTCAAATGCACAGTTAGGCCTCAAAGACACTTAGCCTTTCATCTAACTGGTATGATTGACACCTTTCTGTCAAATGAACAGTTAGGCCTCAAAGGCACTTAGCCTTTCATCTAATTGGCATGATTGACACCTTTCTATCAAATGCACAGTTAGACTTCAAAGGCACTTAGCCTTTCATCTAACAGGCATGATTGACGCATTTCTATCAAATTCATATTTAGGCCTCAAAGACACTTAGCCTTTCATCTAACTAGCATGATTGACACCTTTCTGTCAAATGCACAGTTAGGCCTCAAAGGCACTTAGCCTTTCATCTAACTGGCATGATTGACATTTTTCTTTCAAATGCACAGTTAGGCCTCAAAGGCACTTAGCCTTTCATCTAACTAGCATGATTGACATATTTCTGTCAAATGCACAGTTAGGCCATTAATCTTGTATTTTAGAACAGTTTATACTATAATATCTATTCATAATCTCAATTAACTCTTTCAAATATTTATACAATATATTGTTTATACCTATAGTGCCAATGTAATAATCCTAAAATCTTACTATACTTTACGTGGGTTTCACCCACAATCCCAATAAAGAAATTCATATAATTTCTTAGTTTTTGCACATAAAGTTCTTATACGGAAATTTATAAACAAATTATGAATTTCTTAACTTTTCACACCTGAAGTACCCATACAAAAATTCATAAACAAATTATGAATTTCTTAAATTTTTGCACATTCAGTGCCATTATGAAATCACCATACATATATCAATTAATCATACATCTATGAATACCGTAACATATACATACATACTAAATGTACTCACCTAGATTGTCTCACTATTATATCCAAAATGCAAAGTTGGTCACTCCGGTACTTTGCCTTTGCCTTTGGTGTTGCTTGACTCGGGAGCTTGATTTTGATCTACTCAAGCATCCAATAAAAACACATACAATATCAATTGTTAGTATATTTCCTAACAATTATACTTAAATGTTACTCAAGAGTACATATTATTAACTTTCTATAACTATATCAACCTCTTTTTAGCATTTCTGGCTCAATAGTATCAATACCCCCACCACAGTATCGATAATACTATACTAGGGTATCGATACTCTATTACGGTACCAATACCATTTTTGCATTATGTGATCAATGGAATTGATACCATCCTTAGGGTATCAATACTTCCCTCTTGGTATCGATACCACTTGAATCGGTATCGATACTACTCAACAGATTCTATTGATTTTAAGCCTATAATATCGGTATTGTTCTATCATTACCAATACACGTGCCCATAATTTCCAGTTTTCAGCTCGATTATCACCCAAATGGGGTCAAATTTCGTTATGTTTACACCATACAATATTATTAAACTCTTCTTTACCTATCCATACTAACATTCCTTCATTTAGTTTCTTAAAACATCTAAAATCTTCCAAGAACATTCAATTCTAAGAATCACACCACTTTTTCTAATATGTTCTTAATCATATCCAATGCTTCTAATCTTTCTTTTACCTCTTTGACAAGTTAATTCTACCAATAAACATCAATAAACACTCATATATCAACATATCATTTAAAAACCAATTTTCTTAAAACTCTAATATTTCCTCCATCTCATAGTTTTAATCTCATATAACATTTCCTTAAGCTTACATAACACTTAAGTTTGCAAGAACCAACCATAATTGAAAGTAAACATTAACCAATTAAAACTTTACCTTTGCTATGGGGGAGAGCCATTTACACGGGAAAAAGAAGAAAAGAGAGATAGTCTTTTCATAACCTAAATTCTCTTTTTCCCCTTTTTCTTTAATACCTTATAAAAATGAATTTTAAATTCATTTTCCCCTTAAAGGACCAAAATGCCCTCTTAATTCATCTATTGCTACAATTTAGTTCAAAATGCTATTCCAATCATTTTCTCATCTTTTACCAATTATTCAAATAAATCTTTAAATTTTAATTCTTTTCAATTTAGTCCATGACCTGATATTTGGGGTATCACACATTAAATGCAATGTTTATGTTTAGTTGCTTATGTAATTAATAAATTAAACCTTGAATTTGTTTTTATTATAATTTATAATTTAAATTATGAATTTATAATTTATGTAGTAAGATTTTATATATTAATTGATTAATTTATAATATTATAACTTATAACATGTTGTCATTCAATATATTAATTAATAGTAATATTTTCACTAAAATTGTTGTTTGTTTATTGCATATATTATGCCAGGAGAAAATTAAGTGATTTGCGGATAGTTCGAGCTTCTTAAGAGGAGGAATAAACAAATAATGAGGAATCGAGTGGTGTTGGATCTTCGGAAGTTACAAATACTGTTAAACAAGATGTACAAATTGAAGCTAATGTTCGACACTTTATTTAATTGCTGGTTGATTTTCAAAACTTACATGGAATTATTCTTATATAGTTGAAAATGGTTTAAGACGCAAAGCTAGATGACGTACAACATTGAAGGAATTATGCCAACTTCTTCCTGGGAACCGTGTGAAAGTTTCAAGAAACGATGTCGGTGAACCTATTGGCCTAGAAGCATGTCTTCTATTCGGTTACTTAGGCATGGTTGTACGTAATGCTAATCTTTTACTGATCAATTATGAGTCATAGTGTGAAATTCCAAATAATAGAAAAAAATCAGGTTGTGGATTTTGTTAAGGTAATAATGTCATTATAATAGATAATCCATTATAGTTCAATAGTAATTTATATTTACTTTGAACACATATGTTATTTGTAGGAGAAATTTTCTTTAGAGATCTCAGACGATTATTTGAAGCAAGCGTTAGGGAAGAAATGGAGAGACCACAAGAGTTCTTTAAAAAAGAAATATTTCAAGAATTGTCTCATCCTTGAAGAGAAGCTGCAAATTGTCTTACCTGGAATGCTCATGTATCAATAGGAAGATGCAGTAAGGTTTTGGAGTTCAAAGAAAGGAGATATATGATGTAGTTTAAAAAAAATATTATGTCATTATAATATTGACTTTATAAGTACAAATTTTAAATTGTAGGACAAAGAGCATGTTGGTGTTGCTAGTAGACAACAACAAAAGTTTACTCACACAGCTGGATCAAAGAGCTTTGCTTGTATAGCTAATGATGAGATATTACTGATAATTCACATAGTAATTTACAGTTGGTAGCACATAGTAACGAAAATTATTTATATTATTAATTATTTTTTTACAATACTTAATTTTTATTCTACATTGTAGGAAAATATGTCTGGTAGTAAAGTTGGACGAATAAAGTTATTCCACATGACACATACAGAAAACGATGACACTCATATGACTGATGAAGGTGCATAAATTATGGTACATTTACTGGACACATGATTTGAATTATGTTATATTTATATATATATTATGAAGCTACGACTTCAAGTCATGGTATTGTTAATGCGGATGAGATCAAAAATCAAGTTATTAAAGAAGTTTTAGGTCTTGAAAGATATGGTCGGGTTCACTTTCAAGGATCATTCGTTATCCCAACCAAATATTTTTGATTCAGTTCATCTTAGTATATGTCATCAGAGAGCCAGCCATTTCAATCAGAAGTTAGTCGTTTAAAACAACAGTTAGCTCAAATGGATGAAAAATTTGCTCAAATGAAAGTCAAAACTGAAGCGAGGGAAGCATAGAAAGAATCAACATATTTTAAAAAATATGAAGACTTTCAAAATCAACTTCAAGTTGTGATGTAAATGATACGACAAAATCAACCACAGAGTCAATCATCTTAAGTGTTATTTTAGATATATGCTTTGTTTATTCTAGTTAACAATGTTGAACTACATTATATTTCACTTTAATATAAATTTTGATTTATTATTTTGGATTTCAAGCTTATTGGATAATTCTACAAGTTAAAATTTTAAATTTGCATTTGAAAAATCAGTTTTAATTAGCGGCGTTTGTATAATAAAATGCCATTAAATACATAGTCAATGCTGGCGTTTGTAGAATAAAACACCACTAAAGTTCAAGATATTTTGCGGCGTTTATATAGAAAACACCACTATATACGTAGTCAATAATGACATTTTACATTAAAAAAATACTATATGTTAAACATTTAGCGGCATTTTTAGGAACAAACGCTACTAAATAAAAGATAAATAGTAGCGTTTTATTAAACATCGCTAAAGATCATAACCTTTAACGGCGTTTTATGTTATCAAACGTAGCAAACTTTTACGACGTTTGTTTTAGCGGCGCTTTTTACGGCGTTTGCTTTTACGCTAATTTTTTTTAACGGCACTTAAAAACACCGCTATATAACTAAAAATGTTACTAAGAACCTGATTTTGGTAGTGTTTACGGAAACAATTTAAGTCATGTCTATCCATTTTCTTTTAGAGATAATATTTTGGGTCCAAACAAATTAGCATAATACTCAATGGAAAATGACACATTGAGCACCAAGTTCGTCACTTGTCTCCCTTTATCTTTTGTATATGAAACATATTCCCAAAACCAAATCTCCATTAAAACATGAATTAAAAACAAAGGCTGTTAACTTTGTACATCATCCACTTTGTATATCCCCGAATCCAAACCTATCGTCTCCAAACGTCCCTCCATTATTAAAAAGGGTAAATTACAAATTTAGTAATTAAACTTTACATCTCTCCTATTTTACTCACTTTATTTTAAATCTTTTCAATTTTCTTACTAAACTTAATACATTAGTTTTTTTGTCAATTAGTCGTTTTCTCAATAGCGGTGTTATGAATGGGTTGTTATATATATATATGCAAAATGACATCGTTTTGGTGAAAATTTTATTTTTTAAATGATGTCATTTTAATGTCATTAACTATTTAACGACCGGGTGACAAAAAAATTTATTATATTAAGTTCATTGAAAAAATTGAAAACTTTAAAAGTTCAATGAGCGAAATAGGAGAAAGTCTAAAGTTGAGTGATGCAATTTGAAATTTACCCAAAAAATTTATTTATTAGAAAGAAAAAGATTTAATTCTACCACTTGGCCTCAAACTATAACCTTTATTCTAAGTTTCTCCTTAAACTTTTAAACATTATATTTTTTTCTCCAAATTATGACTCTCATTTTAAATTAATCCTCAAACTTTTGAAATTTTTTTAATAAAACTATTTATCACATCCCATGTTAATAAAATTGTTACGCCATGTTATATTTTTATATGTTTGAAGAAAAATAAAATTTAAGTTATGATTGAAACTAATTTAATATTTGGATTAATTTTGAGATGAAATTAGAATATTTAAAAATTTATGAATGTTTAAAATGAGAGTTATAGTTTGAAGATAAAATCTGAATATTAAAAAATTTAAGCACAATTTAGAATCAGAAACGTAATTTAAGAATAAAATTAGATATTTAAAGGTTTAATGATCAATTTAAGATAAATATCATAGTTTAAAAATATATGATATAATTAACTAAAATAAAAATAAAAATAAAAAGATAAAATACTCAGATGAATGAAATACTTTTACATAATCTTTTTATCTAATGGAATTTATTTTTTAAGATAATTATTAAATTTATTATAGATTTATAAAATAATTATTATACTAACGAAATTTAATGATTTTAATAATGATTTTATAAATATTAAAAATTATTTCAACCTAATTTGATGATATATTTTTCAAAATAAAATTAATTGTATTATGTATTTATGTTTGGCTCCAAGAACGTTCCATTTCATTTTCATCACTAAAATATTTATCGTGACTTACTCACCGCCTTCCTGCCTTCATTGCTTTCTTTCTTTCTTCTTAGCTGAATCGTTTCTCTGTTCATTTTTTAAAGATTCTGATTGCTCTTACCTATGTATTCGTCTACGCATATCGTATAAAATACGCGTCTCCGGAGGAACTTCCTGCTGCAATTGGCGTTGTGGCGGTGATTGGAAGCTGAAGAGTTCAAATCGGTGTTTTTGCATCGCTTTTTTTCGTTGAAGTTAGTTTATTTTCCTGAGCGAGCTTAAGCGGAAGAGAAGTGAGATGGGAGGAGAAGATGGAGGAGAAATTAGAGGTCATAAGAAGATAACAGTTGGAGTCTGTGTCATGGAAAAGAAGGTGAAATGCGGAAGCGAAGTTTTTGTTTCTCTTTTGTTCGCTCAAGCATTTTCTATTAAATATACGAAAAATATACTTTTTAAATGAAAAAGTACCAAGATGATGTATGAGTTATATTGTAATTAATTTAGTATATATTGCTTACTTCTTAATTTGAATATTTTGATTGTTTTCATGTTTTTTCAGCTCCAATGGGACAAATTCTTGACAGGCTTAAGGCTTTTGGCGAATTTGAGGTAGATCAGATTTATTTTTAGTTTATACTTAAACTGAATCTGCCTTTTTTAAAATTATGAAGTAAATTTATGAAACGTGAATTAGTTTACGAGAAGTATAACTGCTTATTCGTGCGATGTCTTTTTTCTTTTTACGAGGATAGTTATGATTTTTTTGGTGTAAGTTCTACATGTTTACTTCAAAGCGATTGGGGGGGGGGGTGTTTAGTACGTGCACGCGTGAAATTAAGCGTGCTAAAAGTTATGTTGCTTTATTCTTATGGATCCCTTGCATTGCATTTTTTTCTTTGAAAGTAACCCCTTGCATTGCAATGCTTCTTTGTTTTTGATCTTTTTGTAGATCGTACATTTTGGCGATAAGGTTATTCTTGAGGAACCGATAGAAAGGTACATTTTCAGCTAATTCGTTGGAACACAGTGTTTCTGATTCACATTATGAAGTTGTTGATAATATAGGTTATAATTGGTATTATCTTTGTTATCGGAACTCTCTATTTTTTGTAAAGCATTGCTGTTTCTGTGTGCCTGACATGTATTGAGACATGATTTTAAGGGATATGATCCTCCAAACGTGTCTGACACACCCTTGTGTCCGAACTTCTCTCGAGTCAAGTCTGGGTAACATATGGTATATATATTGTAGTTTTCTTGTGAATTTCAATAATTTGAATGCTAATGTTGGTAAAAAAATAGGGAAAATATAAAAGAGGTGCGGAGGAGGTCCAAAAGTTTGCGTACTAATGTCTTGTTCAAACAAGGCCAAACTGGTTGCATTTATCTTGGCAATTTTGAAGTCTTGCATTTGGCAGTTTCATCTCCCTGTTGATGAACTGCGTGACATTTTTTTTTCTTCCAAAAGGTAGAGCTTGAGTTGATTGACTCTGTGACTGAAGATCAGTCTCTTGTTTGACATTTTACTCTTTCCCTCTCCTTCGTCTTCTAAGAGGATTGTGTGATGTCTAGGAGGGAAATAACTCAAATAAGGTAGAGGATTAGAAGGAGAGACATGTAGGATGGCATTGGAGATGAATATAATTCTTGGTATTATGGTTGAGATTCATGTTTTCTTCTTCGGTTTTTGGGTTGAGAGGTTCTTTGCCATTGAATTGTCTAATTTATTATAATTTTGCATATTTCAGGTGGCCAATCTGTGATTGTTTGATTGAATTTTATTCCTCTGGGTATCCCCTTGTGAAAGCTGAAGCATATGCTGCTTTAA